CCACCAGCAATGGCAGGAGAAGTGGAGTAAGGAGGCTCTAGCTCACTTGGCTCTCCCAGCCACATCACTCCATTTCCTGCTGGGGAGTACAGGGGCAGTCCCGCCACCCCTCCACAAAGCAGCACACCAGGAGAGCAAAGCAAGCTGGGGCCCCTGCTGCCAGTGAGTGTGGCTGGAGGGGGAGAGGAGGGGCAACTCCTGCTGCCAGCACCAGGCCCTCCCCCTCCCCCCACTTGCCACCCCATCAGTGGTCTCCCAGCCACATCACTCCATTTCCTGCTGGGGAGTACAGGGGCAGTCCCGCCACCCCTCCACAAAGCAGCACACCAGGAGAGCAAAGCAAGCTGGGGCCCCTGCTGCCAGTGAGTGTGGCTGGAGGGGGAGAGGAGGGGCAACTCCTGCTGCCAGCACCAGGCCCTCCCCCTCCCCCCACTTGCCACCCCATCAGTGGCTGGGCAGGGCTTTCCGCCAAGGGCGTTTAGCGCCCATGACACACGCACACATCTATGCTCCCCCACCCATCGCCCCTGCACAGGCAAGCGGGCACATTTGGACACGCATCTTCCACTCCCATGGGCAACAAATGAGAAGCCAAAGGAAGACAACGACTCACATGAAGCTGCTCATCATCTGTTTGGTGTCCTCTGAGCTTCTGGAGTTGGCAAAGCTAATGAAGGAGCAATAGACGGCAATCCAAGCGCACCACTTCAGCTAGAAACACAGAGGAACTCATCTGAGAGCTGCCAAGGGGGCCCTCACCGGATCTCTCCATATCTTCACTATCTAACCGCACCAGGCAAGCATCCAAACTCTTCAAACATTCACTAGACAAAGTTCCCAGTTCCTGCTCCCTTGGGAAACGAGTTAGAGCCAGTACCATTGCACAGACTCATGCAGCAAGAGCTTAGAGTTGGACTTCAGTGTCCTGACTCCCAATCCCTTGATTTAACCATTAGGCCACAGTCCCTCCCCCAGCCAGGAAGAGACCACAAGAGCCTTGACTCCCAGTTCCTTTTCTACTCATTACACACTCAGCCAGGACTAGAAGTAACGAACCCTCCTCTTTCCACCCAGTTTCAGTGCAATGGCTTAGACTAGTGATTCCCAACCTTTTTGAGCATATGGACCCCTTTTCAATCTATTAAAATGTCATGGAACCCCCTCCCTGCGGCAGGAAAAGAAAGAAAAGGAAATGCCCTTTATTTTTAAACTTTCCACAGACCCCCTGCAGTACTGAGGCAAACGACCAGGGGGTCAGCAGTCCACAGGTTGCTTAGCCCCTCCCCCTTCCATCTCCCGTCATTTAATCTTGGAAGACTGTGGAATCCCTCTCACTGGAGGTTTTTAAGATCAGGCGCAGGCAAAATACAGCTCATGGCTGAATCTGGCCCACCAAGCCTTTGGATCCAGCCACAATCTGCCAGGACCCTCAGGCAAAGTCTCCCCTGCCTATGGTAGTCCCAGGCCACTCCAAGTGTCTGGCTGCTGGGTTCATGTGTCTCTCTGTGCCACACCCCTTATGGGAGTGGGGGAAGACTTCATGCACTGTTCCCACAGCCAGCACAATTGCCACAGCTCCCACTGGCCAGAAACAGTTGAAATCACTACTATTTGTAGCCCTGCAGTTGAGCCAATTGCTCTCGCTCGGTGCCAAGGGTTTTTTGGCACAACACAGATACATTCTAGGTAGCGTCTAGAAGTCCCTTTCTGCTCTGCAATCTTTCTTGGAGTCTGTGAAAGCAGCCGCTTGGTTCAGGGAACAGGCGCTGTGAGTCAAGGCAGCGCTGCAGTGCCCAGCGGCACAAATGTTCTTTGTAATAAGGAGTAACGTGGCTCGGGTTTGCTTTGCCAAGAAGGCACCGCGCCCGCCCCAGATCTGACGCTCGTTCCTTTCCTGCTCACCTTCAGCATTAAGCCGCACATGCTGAAAATCATCCCCAGCAGGTTCATGTAATCGGGAGTGGGGTCTTCCAGCGTGGGGTTGTTCTCCGTGGTTGGCGGCTTGTACCTACACAGCGCGTCAGGACAGAGAGAAGGGAGCGTTAACTCAGCCCCGGTCACCCGCGGGAGCACCCAGCGACGCTCGTTCCTTTCCTGCTCACCTTCAGCATTAAGCCGCACATGCTGAAAATCATCCCCAGCAGGTTCATGTAATCGGGAGTGGGGTCTTCCAGCGTGGGGTTGTTCTCCGTGGTTGGCGGCTTGTACCTACACAGCGCGTCAGGACAGAGAGAAGGGAGCGTTAACTCAGCCCCGGTCACCCGCGGGAGCACCCAGCGGACCAGGGATCTG